ATGCAAAGCGGAAGGCAATGTCACGTAGAAGGCCCATTTTGTTTACGGCCGAAAAATGTGCCACGGCCCAAACACCTAAATTTCCAGAGCCAATTACACGTGTCATAACCTCATTGCAAAGCAGTGTACTCCACTGCACGTGGTACCACCCCATAACAGTGTCCGCTGGTTCTTTAGATCAAATGACAAATGGCAAAAATGAATAAGAATTTTGAAAGTTTATTTTTTTATTAGTTCCCAATTGCTAATAGTTTAGTAGGTGCATGCTTGGTCCATTAGGTTTTTTTACTTTAAAAACTCTAATTGTATTAAATATTATAATTTATGAAAAATATTATAATTTTTCATAAGTTGGTTTTTCATCTATTTCATCGAATTGATTTAACATAATAATTTTAAATTTTAAATTTACTAATTTTAATATTAATTATTAATCATTAACTACATTAAATTTATGATTCTTTGATGATCTAATTAATTAAGAGTATTATTATGTTAAAAAAAACTAATTAAGAGTATTTAAAAAATAATAAAAATATATTAAAACGTAAGTTTTATAATTATATTTATATAAAATTTTAATTATTTATTTTTTTATTTTTAATAATTAAAATTTATTTATATTTATTAAAAATAATCATTATTTTCATATAAAAATATGTTAAATTTTAACTACTTAAAATAAAAAAAAATTGATATTTTATATAAACAGAATGTGTAAAACCTCTATTTAATAATTGTATTTAATACCAACAACTTGTTATTTCGAGTGAGAAGAGTTTAAATTTTTTTTAAATCTCAATTTTGAATTTCATAAATAAAAAAATAAATACTAAAAGAGTTTTGTTCTCATTTTGATTTAATTTTAAATTAATTAAAATTTAATGTAATTTTTAAATGTTGTACCAAAAAAAAAAGAGTATTCGATGTCTTAAAAAATATCCTCGCACTCCTATAAATAAAAATATGTTCACCAATAAATGTTTGTCATCTGCCGTAGGAAGTAGGAACCATTGTCATGGGTTGGTACCACATGCAGGGCAAAAGCCTAAGAATAGCCCCTTATCTTGATAAGTTGGATGGTTTTGGTCTCTCACCTTATAACATAACGGTTTTAGCCCCTAACCTATAAGAATGGAAGAAAATAATCCTTTTTTGTAACTTTCGTTCGTTGGGCTGTTACCGTCCGTCACTTTCGTCCCTTCCTCCGTTATTTTTCTGTTAACTTTCTCAAAGCTTCTCCAAGAAGCCTGTTGCATTATTTTTGGGAATTCAAACTTTTTTTTTTTTTTGAGAATTCTAACATTTTTTTTACTTTTATTTTTAAAGATAACTGCACATGTATTAATTGTATATAATTTTTA